GACTGGGTTAAGTGATTTTCTTTAGTGATTTTCTTAAGTGATTTTCTTTTTCTTAATATGATATTATTTTAAAAATTTCTTGTTTATTTAAAGAAGGAAACACCACAGAAGATAGTGAGCTTGGATTATGCAGCAAATTTGTGGAATAGGCACCTTAGAAAGCTAGACAACTACCCGTCTCTTCACGTTGGTTAAACATGCTGGTATCTTGCAGTAATCTTAGGGTTGACTGGGCTTAGTGATTTTCTCCTTTTAATATGAAACTATTTTCAAAAATCGCTTGTTTCTCCATAGAACCAGACGACCATACTTAAGTTGTTTACGACTCATCCGACGTGTTTACTCAAGAGGAACATTATAAAGCCGGCATGTTTACAAGATACACTGTTCACGAAATCAAATCTTCTTTAAAATTATCTATTGCATACAATATTTCCCTGTGTCAATCGCGCTGAAAGGATAAAAGAAGATTTCTGACGGCCAAAGTTTATTGGGGAAACCGAAATGATCAGATATGTGCTAAATTGGGATCTATAACTGGAGCAGCACTGATCGTTTCTCAGGGTTGACTGGTTTCAGTAATTTTTTTAGGATATTCAACGGAGGAAACACCACAGAATATAGTGAGCTTGGATTATGCAGCAAATTTGCAGAAAAGGCATCTTAGAAAGCTAGGTAACTACCCGTTTGTCCACATTGGCTAAACGTGCTGGTATTTCACGGTAATCTTGGTGGTGGCTGGGTTCAGTGATTTTCTTCGGTGATTTTCTTCTTCTTAATTTGAGTTACTTTCAAAAATCGCTTGTTTCTTTAGAGAACCGACAATGCTTAAGTTGTTTATAACTCATCCGACGTATTTACTCGAAAGGAACATTGTGAGACCGACTTGTTTAGAAGATACACAGTTGATGAAATCAGATCCTCTTTAAAAATTATCTATCATATCTAATATTTGCCCGTGACAATCGCACTGAAAGGATAAAAGAAGATTTATGACCAAAGTTTATCAGGGAACCGGCCAAACCGAAATGAACAGATACGTGCTATCTTCAGTGATTTTCTTCTTCTTAATTTGAAATTATTTTCAAAAATCGCTTGTTTCTTTAATTAAAGAAACAGACGACCATGCTTAAGTTGTTTACAACTCATTCGACGTGTATACTTGATAGGAACATTATGAATCCCACATGTTTAGACACAGTTGACGGAATCACATCTTTAAAAATTACCTATTGTATAACAGAAAAGCACTGATCGTTTCTCAGGGTTGACATGTTTCAGTAATTTTTTTTAGGATATTTAACAGAAAAAACACCACAGAATATAGTGGGCTTGGATTATGCAACAAATTTGTGGAACAGGCATCTTAGAAAGCTAAGCAACTACCCGTCTGTCCACGTTGGCTAAACGTGCTGGTATCTTGCAGTAATCTTAGACTGGGTTCAGTGATTTTTCTTTAGAATATTTAATGGAGAAAACACCAGAGAATGTATCGAGCTTGGATAATGCAACAAATAAGCGGAATAAGCATATCAAACCCTCAGGCAACCACGATCCAGTGTTTACGCTGGCCCGTCTGTCTACATTGACTGAACATGCTGGTATTTCGCAGTAATCTTAGGGATGACTGGGTTCAGTGATTTTTCCATCAACATAAGTGAAATCAAAGGAAATCACACTACGTGCCTAGTGTCTACACTAGCTTGAAGGGCAAGTTTCTCCGCAGTCATCTAGATGTTTTATGCAACCCCTGTAAAAATTCTCCACTGTATTTTTCATCTTGTACATTCAAATATTCATTTATTGGGTTTCTTATGACCATCAGTTGGCCCGACACTCCGCACTTCGTGTTTCTTCCCTAAATATATATAATAACCGTGGCTAAATTAGGTTAACTGTGCCCACGTGGTTTTTCCAAATTAAAATATAAGGGCAAATGCTCTTTGCTGGTCTAAATATCTGTTTCGCTCCTACCCATCTGCATCAAAAATATTTACTCCAGTATTACATGCATTGTAGGGGGATGTCAGAATAATGTAACTTTTGATTCTGCAAATCGTGTTTCAGAGGAGAGAAACTAACGCCCCATCTACACCAGCAAAACATGTTTACATACACCGGGTTTAACTGAATGAAAATCAGAAACAGAGAACTGAAAAGCTGAGTTTTATACTCGTTTCAAGTTGTCACTAACTTCTATTTTCAATGTGCTAAATTTGAAGTCGACAAACATCGGTTTAAACAGCTACTATGAAGAATAAAATTTTTAAACGTGTTTAACAAAACAGCTTTAGAACATGTTTAAGCTTTGCTGTGAATGAGGTGCAGGAGAGTCGATGATTTGCTTTGAGACTAAACTTAACATACAGCGTTAGACTGTGGCCTTCATTAGGTCATTAATAGAAGGATGGTACTAATTTGGAGGTTCCATTTCAAATAAGGAAATTTCAATGCGGGATATTCCTTGAAATCAGGCTTATTATTTTCCCTCGGAGCTGATACCAATTCACGGAGTAACAGCCTGTTGTGGAAAGGTGGCTGAGGCTCATCGTTTTGCGTCGGAGCTGACACCCAGTCACGGACTAACAGCCTGTTGTGAAAAGGTGGACGAGGCTTATCATTTTTCGTCGTGATCTTCCTTCGTGTAGAGAAATATATGCCGTAGGGTCTTGTGGACAACTTTCCGAAAGTTATTCGCCAAATTAACTCTACTGAGCCGGATACTCCTTCCTAGACAATGAAAACTCTACTTCCCAAATCATGCACAAAAGTCTTCCCTTTTTTTCCTTTTTTTCCTTTTTTTTTCCCTTTTTTTCAGACTATATTTTCGTTACTGCTTACGTAGCTAGTGGTCATAGCAGCGAAGATCACTCTCATCTCATGTAGTTTAATTATCTAAGCATCCGCCCAAAGGCTTAGCTAAACTTGGAAACATCACTGCGAAGGCAAAGTGTTTCCTAATTAGTCATGCAAGAAAAATAAGTTGTAGAAATAAGTTTTGCTGCTTAGAAACAAGACAAGACTTCTGCCTCAGCTCATAAATGCTTTCTGCCTCCAGTCCCAAAATTTGAAAGGAATTGGATGAACGAAGATATAAAAGGACTCTTTGCCTAGTGTGAGGGCAGGGCTAATATGTGGAAAGGAGTCCATAAATAGGTATAATAAGGAATAGCCTTAAAGTCGAATCTAAGCACAGATGCTAAATGAATTATTCAATCATGAGAGAAGAATAAAAATGGAAATGATAAATGCAAAATGTCAGTTTATTATTCCGCGCTTTCATAGCCATTTGTTTTCTGAAACAATGTTTCCTTTTGCCATCAGGGAAGCAAATTTAAAATTCCCGATAACTAAGCCATCCTGAAAACTTAAAAAGAAACAATCCATGGCAACTTTAAGCCTATATTTGTAATACAGTCCTACTTAAAAGCTTAAATTTTCTTCAATAATGATTCACATTTCATTTACTAAGAAGTCTATGGCACTCTGGAACAAGATTATTGATATTAAGAAAGCTTATTGTACGATTCGGCTTCCTAATTAGATTTATCAAAAGCACGGTTTACGTGTACACAACTTGAACTAAACGAGAACTGAGTGACTTCTTGTCTGATGCCATTCACATCGTTTATCTCCTGCCTAAAGAACAGAATATACATTTTGGGCAAAAAGAGACAACAAAGGAAGCCATACACGCTCAACAGATTCGTTACACAGTCCACAACAGTTACATACCATCCATCCAAGCACAACTACCGGGTGATAACAAAGCAATGAGAACAAAAATATGTACATGGAAAAAGCGATTCGTTTGGCCTCGCTGAAATTTTCAGGAATCTTCCTAATCTTAAAGGCACAGAACGACGACAGAAGCATTTGGAAGAAAATATAAAGACATGTTGTCAAGAATAGAGATTTTCCAACCGAGCTGGAGTATGCCTTGCATTCGTTCAAGATGTGACGCTTTGGATAGATATGTCGCATGTTAAAGGGTGGATCCAAAAGCAACCATGGAAACAACACCGACAACAGTGGAGCTAGAGATGCTATGACAATCCCAACCTGTGCTTTGTTTGGAAGAGAAGTAAATTCCAAACTGGTCAAAATGGGAACCCGAAAAGCTTTGGAAATAAGCAACACCTTAACCAATAAGATGGATAGACAGAAGTTATAGGTCAGATAACGTAACGGGTATATGATCTTGCAAATTGCATTCGTGGACATAAAGACATTAATGAATGCCAAAGACAATAATGACAGAATTACGATTGAAAGAACAACGCTAAGAGTTCGATTGGAAGCCTTGACAATGGGACTATTCCAGAATTTATAGAGGGCTGCCAGGCAAATCAATGTAACAACTACACCGAGCGTAGCAAAGGTAAAATTATAATTTCACTCGCACTAACATAACTTATGTCAGCGGAGGGTTAAATGACACAGTCTGTTTTAGCCTGGTTGGACATTGTTCCGATAGGGCATTCACTACAGCTTTCAGAACCAGCGGATGGGCTGATGGTTCCACCAAGACATGGAAGGCACTGCCAACAACCAGGAGAGGTAAAAGATTTCCTTTTTCCAGGAGGACACTGCTCGAACATTCAGATTTTGGGGGCGACCAGATGTACTCGTCCAATTCAGGGCTTCATGAAAAATCAAGCGAGTTTTGTTCCTCTTTGAATTTTTCCATTCTCCTATCAGCACCATTTTCATGCTCTCGACATCTCCATTGAATACTTTTTTGTAGCTGAACCGCCGAACCCTTGTCACCAAATCGATCGAATGTAATTTTTCCAGTTAGACCGTCAAAACTGACTCTGCCAAGAAGCTTCTGCACGTTAAAACTACTGGCTATCTGCAGATTTGCCCGATCTTTGGTCCCGTCATAACTAAAATTTCGATTAAAAATATCTAGTGCGTGTGCTACGGCATATACAGCGTCGATGATGTTCGGAACAAAGGGGCTGTAGATTTCTTTAATCAAGTCTTTAGAATACTGCTCAATTTGGCAACGAACACACTTCTTGCTCCTCAGCACTAGTAGCTGTTCCACTTATGCTCGAAACATTGAGCATCCGAAGAAATCCAGCAGTGAATAGCGCAGTGCTCGATTCGCTTGGGCCTATTGAAGAAATGATTACTTTCTTTCTTGAGGCATTTCGGCTTAAATTTACACAAGCATCAACAGTCAAAAGTTTGTAAACAAGTCTTGCAGCTTCTGAAAAGTTTTCACAGTAATCCCTTACGTCATATCCTAGGGTAATGTTAGAAAGAAGACTTGTGTCGTTGTTTATTCGTTCGATTGCGAAGATCATGGCCTGCATCTGACCAAGGTCTCTCCAATTTGTCTCTCCACATTGGCTCCCTGGCTTGTCTGACGGCTGGTGCACGCTATCGCCTTCTCTGTATGGAGCCTGAACAGCAGCATAGAAGCACAAGAAAAGAAACAACTGGTAGTGCAACGAACTCATAGCATTACTCTTCTTTCTCCGCTTACTTGTTGGTGAACCCAACGCATAGACATTAGTTATTTGTACATACGTGTATTTTGCAGATAAGATGGTGATCAGTAATTTTTTTTGTTAATTTCAATTTAGAAACCTGAAGTGTTACTCTACAAACAACAGCCAATCGTTATCACTTGCGAGCTTCTAGCTCGCTGGTTTAATTTATAAACTATAAATTAATGGTGACCACATGTTAGGGGTGTATGAATTTAAAACGTTCTCGGACATTGTAAAGCTAGCTTGGTGACAAAACAAATTAAAACCGTCGCTCTTAAGTTTTCATTTTCTCTTGCTTTTTTTCTCTCTCTCTCAATTTTTTTTGACAAGTTACCATATATATTGGAAAGAGCAAAAGAAATACAGAACCATGCCTTTGTTGCTTTCATAATTGAAAACTGGCCAGACAGTTTGACGCAGCTGTTAAATGGAGCTGTTGCGTGGCGAATAAAGAGAAAAAACAATAACATATCTATATAGAACTTACTTCTTCAATTACAGATAAACACGCATTAAAAATTTTCAAATGCAAATACCACTCCAACTAAGTAGGACTTATTTTTCTGAACTTGACAATAATTTACATATTAATTCAAACTTACCTTCTTACAAACAGTGTTAAAATAACTTCCAATAAAATAGATAAATATTTCACTAAATTATAAGAAATGAAGATAAGTAGAACATCACCATGCCCGGATGTCACCATATCTTTTTCAAAACAATGTTTTCTTATTTTGCCATCGGTGAAGCTAGCAAGACCTTCTGCTGGTCAAACCATCCCAGAAACATAACAAAAAAGCATTCCGTAGCTTTATCTAGTGTTTGTTGCAGAATTCTTTATTGCGTTAAGGAAAATCTATGCGGAGCGCTGGCTCGACAATCAGTGGAACTGTATCTTTCCGATTTCTTGCGTTTATTTTACGATCCATCCAATATCCGAACTTCCTACATTCAAACGATCTCAACTCTCAAGTCTTCTGTTACAGGATAGCGATTCTATTAATCTGCTATTATAACGGAAATACACGCCTAGACTACGTTAAACCAGGATTGACATTACTTATTCGTGATTTACTAAAATCCCAAGCTATTTCCTTTAAACTTGATTTTAACAGCTGTTTCCCATTATACGCTGATCAATACTTAAGTAATTTACAACCGCACGCACGCACGCACACGCGCACACACACACTCTCAGACAGTTAGGTTTTGCCTGTGTACCTCTTCGAAAAAACCTTCGTTTGGTAATGCGCGTAGCACCACAACATCACAACTTTGATTTTGTGCATCTCCGGCTTTGGTTTTATAACTACTTTCCAAATGCTGCGGTTCAGACTTCCACGGAGTATAAGGTCCGTCATAGCAATACAGAATTAACTTTTTCTTGACGTAGTCTTGTTAACTACTACCCATATTCCACTTCGTCCATAAACAAAACAACACAAAACAAAACGAGACAAGAATGGACTAAAAAGCGAACCAACATTCAAAAACAAGACACATAAAACCACCAAGCAGAATATAGGGTTACAGGAATCAACTGATCTTATGTTTAAAAGCAATATCGAACTAAACCACAAACCTGAAGCACACCTGGAAACAGAAATTTTAAAAAACACGACATGTTTCCATGAGAATATTTCATTTCATTTTCATCTTCGTTGTGTCCTACGTTATTTAGGCTAGTAACACAAAATGATCATCGAAATAATTTACATGGTATAATACATTTCAATAAATAAGAATTAGCAGTATTCATTGATAACGAAGAGCAGCAACAGCGGCAATCCTCTTTATTGCCAGCTGCTGATATTCCTAAATGTAAATAAAAGATCAAGAAAAATATATGTTATCAATCAAACAAACAGAGAGTCAGTGTCAGTATCCATCAAATCCATTTCCCTTTTACTAAGATCATACGTGATGACTCGGCATCTGCTAACTTATATCATCAGATCGTAACTTCAGGGATTTCAAGGATTCGATACCATTTCTTTTTGCAACGGAATCCCGAAAAAGCCGCCACTTACCCAGTGTAAAATCAAATATTAAGAGGGAAAAAGAAAGTAACTCCTTCAAGTTGATTAGTCGCCTACATTGAAAGGTAATATGTGGGACATAGACGGCTTGGCTTGGCATATTTCATGTCATTGAGGATTTAACATACATTTAATAAAGAACTCAATTCACATCCTTTTGTCAACTGCTGCTGAAAGTATGCACTATGTGAAAATCATTCCCTAAAGAGGGGCAACTAAGAGAGTTCATGTTTAGAAATTTAGGCTTGATTGATTATGTAGTGTTCATTTGACCTTAGATTTAATAGAGTCATTAACAGCATGAGGGGTTTTACTTTTGAAGTTGCAATACAAATACCTAATTTTCGTGAAGCTGAAATATTTGGTACATAACTATGGGATGGAAAACAGAATCAGTAGGTCTGATGTAAGCGAAAGATGTTCCATACCCGTATCTTTTATCCTTTAAAAACCAGAAAACCGATTCAAGGGCAAGTGTGTATCCTTGACCATGTAGTGACCTTCCCTCGTGTAGGGAAATATGTGCCGTAGGGTCTTGTGGACAACTTTCCGAAAGTTGTCAACCAAATTATAATTAACACTGCTGAGCCAGATATTCCTCCCTAGACAATAAAAACTCTACTCTAGAATGTTCTCTTAATTATATCAGGTATCTTGAGGCTCGCTGTAAATTCATCTCAATTTGTAAATGCAACTTCTCAAGAACACCGTTGTATAAATGCCTGGTAAATCACTATGCTATGACGCATAGGATTTTTGAGGAACGGAGCGCGCATCAGAATTCCCCAACGGAATATTAAGTGAGGACTAAAGAAACGTGAAATTCACGGTGAAAGAGCAAGGACCTGTCGAATAATGTAGAACCTTGTGGAGAGATCAGGTAAATTTTATAGTGACGCAACCAAACTACTTCAAAGTGCCCTTCCACCGGGGCAAAATGAACAATATCCCCCCTTGTGGCTCATACAGTTTAATTATCTACGCATCTTCCCGAAAGCCTGATTAAAGAAGGAAACAGAAGCAAATGTTTTTTAGTTAGCCAGACCAGAAACATTTACTACAGAGAAAGGTTTAGCGGCTAAGAAAAAAGACAATGCTTTCTTCCTCACATGACACACATGATGCTTTCTAAAACTATTTTTAGCGGCTTTGCCACTACGAAATAAGTGTTGACTAGTTTCCATCGCAGCTCCTCAATGTGTCCTAAGAACTGGGACCGTCAACAATGGCCAGCGGCAAAATCGAAATCGAGGAGACTCTGATAGGTCCCAAAATAGGAGAGGGAAAAAAAGGAAGATCAAAAATGCAAATGAAAAATACAGAGGGTCACTCTATTATTCAGTGCACACGTGGCCATTTGTCTTCCTCATCCGCAAGGTTTCCTTGCTTAGCCATCGGGAAGGAAACCCTCCTACAAAATAAACAATCCTGCACACATAACAAGGAACGATCCATAGCAGCATTTCCTAATGATTCTAATCGTTACTGCCTATGCAAAAGTCAAGTTAAAAATATTGTTTCAATAAAGTGTCAGTTAATAACATAAATTTTCCTCAATCATAGATCTATTTTTTATTTACGTACATGTAGAAGTCTCTGACACACTCAAAATAACGCAATGATTTTAAGAAAGCTTATTTTACGACTCAGCTTCCTTATTAGAACTATCAAAACTGGGTTTACGCGACTTTACGTATACAATTTGAATGAACTAAACGAGAACTGAGTGACTTCTTGTCTGATGCTAGGCGCATCGTTCATCTCCTTCCCAATTCATGCGCAGTAAGTCTTCTTCCTTATTTTTGTTTTTTGTTTTTTTAATTTTTTGTTGGCGTTACTGCTTAAGTAGTGTTCATAACAGCTAACATCATTCTCATCTTCATGCAGTTTAATTATCGAAGCATCTGCCCAAAGGCCTGGCTAAACTTGGAAACATCATTGCGGTGGCAAAATGTTCCCTAATTAGCCACACAAGAAGCAAATGTTGCGGAATTAAAGAAAGAAGACGAGGCTTTTGCTTTAGGTCACAACTGCTTTTTCCTCCAAGCCACAAATTATGCTGATGTAAAAAAATTTACCTGGTTTAGCCAAAATTAAAGCAATGTAGACTAGTTTCCAGTGTTGTTAATTGTAATGTGTCCTATTTGGACGGCGAAGGCTTAGCAATGGTTAATGGCGAAGTCAGTAGAAGAGAATTAAGCCATCCTGGAAACGTAAAAAGAAACAATCCATCACAATATTACTTGTTTTCATACCTTGAAGCCTTTAATTGTGATGCAGTGCTAATTAAAGGCATAAATTTTCTTCAATAAGGGATTCACATTTCATTTCCTTAGAGGTCTATGGCACACTCAAACAAATTTACTAATCTTAAGTACTATCAAAATTGCTAATCTTAGTACTATCAAAAGCACGGTTTCCGCGTACGTACGTACGCGTACTTGATCTAAACGAGAACTGAGTGACTTCTTGTCTGATGCCATTCACATCGTTTATCTCCTGCCTAAAGAACAGAATATACATTTTGGGCAAAAATAGACAACAAAGGAAACCATAGGCGCTCAACAGAGTTGTTACACAATCCACAACCGTTACATACCATCCAACCATGGACAATTCTACCGGGTGATAACAAAGCAATGAGAACAAAAATATGTACATGGAAAAGGCGATTCGTTTGGCCTCGCTGAAATTTTCAGGAATCTTCCTAATCTTAAAGGCACAGAACGTGGACAAAAGCATTTGGAAGAAAATATAAAAACATGTTGCTAAGAATAGAGATTTTCCAAGTGAGCTGGAGTATGCCTTGCATTCGTTAAAGGTGTAACGTTTCGGATAGATATGTTGCTTGTTAAAGGGTGGATTCAAAAGCAACCATGGCATCAACACCAACAACAGTGGAGCTAGAGATGCTATAACAATCCCAACTTGTGCTTTGTTTGAGAGAGAAGTGAATTCCAAACTGGTCGAAATGGGAACCTGAAAAGCACTGGAAATAAGCAACACCTTAACCAATAAGATGGAGAGACAGAAGTTATAGGTCAGATAACGTAACGGGTATATGATCTTGCAAATTGCATTGGTGGATATAAAGACATTTATGAATGCCAAAGACAATAAGGACAGAATTGCGAGTAAAAGAATAAGGCTTACTTCTCGATTGGAAGCCTTTACAATGGGACTATTCCAGAATTTATAGAGAGCTGCCAGACAAAGAAATGTAGCAACTACACCGAGTGTAGCAAAGGTAAGAATTACAATTCCACTCGCACTACTATAACTTATGTTCGCAGAGGGTAAAGCGACACACTCTGTCTTAGCCTGGTTAGACATTGTTCCGATGGGGCATTCACTGCAGCTTTCAGAACCAGCGGATGGGCTGACGGTTCCACCAAGACATGGAAGGCACTGCCAACAACAAGGAGAGGTAAAAGATTTCCTTGTTCCGGGAGGACATTGTTCCGAGCATTCAGATTTGGGAGGGCGACCAGATGTAGTCGTCCAATTCAGGGCTTCATGAAAAATCAAGCGAGTTTTGTTTCTCTCTGAATTTTTCCATTCTCCTATCAGCACCATTTCTATGCTCTCGACATCTCCATTGGGTACTTTTTTAAACCTGAAAATGTCATAATAGGCCGAGCCCCTGTCACCAAATCGATCGAAGTTGATTTTTCCAGTTAGTCCGTGAAAACTGACTTTGCCAAGAAGCTTCTGCACGTCAAAACTATTGGCTACCTGCAATTTCGCCCGATCTTTGGTCTCGTTATAGCTAAAATTTTTATTGAAAATATGTAGTGCATGTGCCACGGTATATACTGCGTCGATGATGTTTGGAACATAGGAGCTGTAGATTTCTTCAATCAAGTCTTTAGTGCATTGCTCAATTTGGCGATGAACACACTTCTTGCTCTTCAAAGGCTTCCATATTTCGCTTGTACTGTAATTCCATTCAGGAAAACTTTTACTGTCTCTCTCCCTGACCAATATATCTTTTAAATATTTCTTGAAACCAGAGTCGCTGAATTCATGGCATAGAAATCCCAAAGAGCTGTCGAGAATACCTTCTACTGGCAGTGTAGAAGTTAAGTGAACCTCGCTTAAAATCCAAACACGTCCAGTTAGGTTTTGCCTCTGAACCTCTGCCAAAAACTTCCTTTGGTAATTTTTGTATAGCCATAAGATCACAACTCTGATATTACCCATCTGTTTAAGCTTTCGAACAACGTTCGAAATACTCAGAGTCAGACTTTCGAGCCGTATAAACTCCGTCAAAGCAATACAGAAAGTGCTTTTTCTTGAAGTACTTTCGCTAACTATTGCCCATACTCCATTTCGTCCATACGAATCATCAAGTCCAACGACAGCAACATAACTCCAATTGAAGTGTGTAACCAAGTCAACCATCGCTTTTGCAAGAAAAGTATCCGAAGGCACTGTTCGAAATAAATGATCATAGGTAAGGGAGCTAAGTTCAGCACTAGTAGCTGATCCGCTAATGCTCGAAACATTGAGAATCCGAAGAAATCCTGCAATAAATAGCACAGTGCTCGATTCGCTTGGGCCTATTAAAGAAATAATGGCTTTCTTTCTTGTGGCATTTTGGCTTAAATTAACACAAGTATCAATGGTCAAAAGTTTGTAAACAAGTCTTGCAGCTTTTGAAAAGTTTCCACAGTAATCCCTTACGTCATATCCAAGGGAAATGTTAGAAAGAAGACTTGTGTCATTGTTTATTCGTTCGATTGCGAAGATCATGGCCTGCATGCGACCAAGTTCTCTCAAGTTTGTCTCTCCACATTGGCTCCCTGGCTTGTCTGGCGGCTGGTGCACGCTGAAAAGTCCGCCCAACATGATATCGCCTTCTCTGTATGGAGCCTGAACAGCAGCAAAGAACCACAAGAAAAGAAACGACTGGTAGTGCAACGAACTCATAGCAATACTCGTCTTTTCTCCGTTTAACTGTTGGTGAACCCAACGCATAGACATTAGTCATTTGTACGTAGGTAAATTTTGCACATGTGGTAATAATTAGTAACTTTTTATGTTAATTTAAATTCAGAAACCAAATTTGACTCTTCAAAAAACAACCAATCATTATGACTTCTTAGCTTTTAGCTCGGGGCATGGTGTAACTGATAAGCTATAAATTCATGGTGAACATATGTTAGGAGAGTATGAATTGAAAACGATCTTAAACATTATAATGCCAGCTTTATGACGAAACAAATTAAAACCGTCGCTCTTAAGTTTTCATTTTCTCAAGGGTTTATTTTTTTCTCTCTCTCTCTCGATTTTTTTAATTAAGTTACCGTATTTATTGAAAAGAGTGAAAGAAAAACAGAACCATACCTTTGTATGCTTTGACGCAGTTGTTAAATGGAGCTGTTGCGTGGCGAATAAAGAGAAAAAACAATCATGTATTTGTATATATGTTAATTACAACGCAGCTTTTACAGATTAACACGCATTCAAAATTTTCAAATGCAAATACCACTCCAAATAAGTACTTACTTTTCTGAATTCGACGATAATTTGCATATTGATTCAAACTTACCTTCTTACCAACAGTGTAAAAGTAACTTCCAATAAAATAAATAAATATTTCACTACATGAGAAGACAGGAAGTTAATTAGAACATCATTCTGCCCAGATGTGACCATATGTTTTTCGAAATCATTTTTTTTTTTTGCCATCGGAGAAGCTAGCTAGATCTTCCGCTGATCAAACCATCCCAGAAACATAACAAATAACCATTCCGTGACACTATGCGGTGTGTTGAGACCTCGATTTAGCTAGCATTTCGATGTTCGAGATCGTTTTAAATTCATACACTCCTAAAATATGGTCACCATTAATTTATAGTTTATTAATTACACCATGCAGAGAGCTAAAAGCTCACAAGTCCTAATAGTTGGCTGTTTTTTGTAGAGTAAAAATTTACAATAATTTGCATATTAATTCAAACTTACCTTCTTACCAACAATCTAAAAGTAACTTCCATTAAAATAATAAATATTTCACTAAAGGATAAGACAGGAAGTTAATTGGAACATCAGATGTCACCATATGTTTTTCGAAACCATATTTTCTTATTTGCCATCGAAGAAGCTAGCTAGACTTTCCACTGATCAAACTATCCCAGAAACATAACAAATAACCATTCCGTAACACTATGTAGAGTTTTGAGACCTCGATGCGAGTTCGAGATCGTTTTAAATTTATTCAGTACTAACATATGGTCACTATTAATTTATAGTTTATAAATTAAACCAGCGAACTAGAAGCTCACAAGTCATAATAATTGGCTGTTTTTCGTCGAGTAAAATTTGGTTTCTGATTTGAAATTAGCATAAAAAGTTACTGATCATGGGCCACTTCGGCCTCTATAAATCCATTCTGCTTGGAACTCTCGTAGTTGCCCTTCTCTAGAGGATGATTTTCACATAGTGCATACTTTCAGCAGCAGTTTGCACAAGGATATGAATTGAGTTCTTTATTAGATGTATGTTAAATCCTCAATGACATGAAATGTGCCAAGCCATGCCGTAGACGCGTCTTCTATGTTCCACATATTACTTTACAATGTAGGCCACTAATCAACTTGAAGGAGTTACTTGTTTATTTTTTGCCCTCTTAATATTTGATTTTACCCTGGGTAGGTGGCGGCTTTTTTTGGGATTGCGTTGACGAAAGGAGACAAAAATGGACTAAAAAGCGAACCAACATTCAAAAAACAAGACACATAAAACCAGCCAACAGAATATAGAGTTTCAGAAATCAACCGCTCTTATGCTTAAAAGCAATATCGAACTAAACCACAAATGTGAAGCACACCTGGAAACAGGAATTTTAAAAACACGACGTGCTCCGATGAGAATATTCCATTTTATTTCCATCTTCGTTGTATCCTACGCTATTTAGGCTAGTAACACAAAATGATCATAGAAATAATTTACATGACATAATACATATCAATAAATAGGAATTAGTGGTATTCATTGATAAAGATGTGCAGCAACAGGAGCAAATTGCCAGCCGCTTATATTCCTAAATGTGAATAAAAGATCGAGAAAAAATATATGTTATCCATCAAAGAAACAGAGAGTCAGTGTCAGTATCCATTATACTTCTCCCCCTTAACATTTCCATTTCCCTTTTACTAACATCACTCGTGACGACTCGGCATCTGCTAACTTATACAATCTGATCGTAATCTTCAAGCATTTCAAGCATTCGACGCCATTCCTTTTTGCAACACAATCCGGTCACAAAACGGCCTCCTACCCAGGGTAAAATCAAATATTAAGAGGGAAAAAAAAGTAACTCCTTCAAGTTGGTTAGTGGCCTACATTGTAAGGTAATTTGTGGGACATTGAAGACGCGCCTAGGGCTTGGCTTGGCACATTTCATGTCAATGACGATTTCACGTACATTTAATAAAGAACTCACTCATATCCTTATGTCAACTGCTGCTGAAAGTATGCACCATGTGTAAATCATCCTCCAGAGAAAAGCAGCAATTTTGTAAGTCGATACACGTTCTGTATCGTTGTTGCCTACAAGTAATGGTATGAGAGTAAAGTTAGGATATAACATAGAGTTAATTAACATCTCTTTACATTTAATAGGGTTTAGTCTTATGTTTTGATCCATAGAAAAATTGTGAATGTTAGATACGGTCGAATTGAGCAGACTGATAGAGTTCCTGGTAGCATTTCTATGGCAGACGTGTCATCCACAAACTTGACTCTCAGGTGCCAATCAGCTAAAGGATTGTTTGTCATTAGTGTGAAAAGTATCACTCCTAGTTTAGTTTCCTGAGGCACACTTCCCTTGAGGAATTTTCAATCTGATAATGCTGACCCTATTCTTACAGCCTGCTGTCTGTCTGTTACGCAGCAATCCAACTGATGAGCGCGGGATCAACCTCTAGTTTTCGCAACCCAGTCATTAAGATGTTATGGTCAATTAGATCAAAGTCTTTCGAAAAGTCAGCGAAGAAGACCCAGGCACTTTGAAATTTGTTTTCCTTAAGGACGTAGTCGTGGTCTTTAAGAGAAATATCAGTAGAAACGCGGAAAATTTTGGCGGCAAGTTCGTTTATGTTGTCATCGCTAGCGTCTTGTTTTCTCCCCTCATTCGACCTTTTTCGCGTTGATTTGGACTTCTTCGGACTGCATACTGATTAAATATTGTTGGAACCGTGCCACGTGCTGGCCTTTTAATTTCAGAAAGTGTCTTCAGGATTTGTTTAGTCTCGTAGTGTTTGGAGCATACATGCAAGTTCTTTACGGACGTGAACTCCTTATCAGCGCGACGACCGAAGGCACTCCTTTCTTAGTCCCTCTTCGCCTGGAAACTAGAAAAAGTTGAGGTCCGGCCTTGTTTAGAGTTATTTTTGCGCACAGGGATGGCACAAAAACTCACATTCGACTTACAGTCACCCGATCTTGCTTTCAAAATAAGCGCATATTCCCTCGGCCTCGGCTTGGTGCTGATAATTAGTTACCAGACTATCTCGCACAAAAAATTCGAAACTAGCCTTTTACAACGCAATTTTTTACAGATAATCACGCTTTAAAAATTTTCAAATGCAAATACTCCAACTAAGCAGAACTTATCTTTCTGAACTTGACAATAACTTGCATATTAATTCAAACGTACCTTCTTACCAATTAACCCGTTAGCCGAAAACGGCCAAAAATGCAAAGGGTCACTGATTCGCTCCTGTCATTGAAGGGGCTACTGTAATTTGAAATAAATTTTTATTTTCAGTTGAACTGATTTTTGCGTACATGGAATTTATTTTGCACTCGTAATAGAAGAAGTAGTCAACTGAACAAATAAACTAATATTACAAAGAAGGTTATTACACATGTCAATTTCAGTTGAAGCGACGGGCCAGTATTATACTTAAAATTTGTGTTCCATATGCGGCTTGTAAGCTTCGATGTACGATCGGTGGTGACACTTTTGAAATGTAGTTACGTAAAGAACTTCTCGATTTTTAAATAACTAGTCGCCTGATCTATATTTGGCATGTTGCGCTAAAATAATTAAATATTCACACAAAAAAATGACAAACGGCTTGAAAAATGCAAATTAGTCACTCTATTATTCAGCGCACACTGACAATTTGTCTTCCTCAACCGCAATGCTTCCTTTCTTAGCCATCGGGGAAGCAAAACCTCCGACCAAATAAGCCATCCTGCCAACATAACAAGGAACGATCCATACTAGTATTTCCTGGTGATTTTTATCAAAAGTCAAGCAATAAATGTATTTGCAAGATAGTGTCAGTTAATAAAATGAATTTTCCTCCACCATAGATTCCATTTTTTATTTACGTGCATGTAAAAGTCTTTCACACACTCAAAATAACAAAATTATTTTAAGGAAGCTCATTGTAAGATTCAGCTTCTGGATTAGAACTACCAAAAGCAGGGTTTACGTGTACACAACTTGAATGAACTAAACGAGAGCTGGGTGATTTCTTGTCTGATGCTATTCTCATCCTTCATCTCCCTCGCAAATCATGCACAAAAAGTCTTCCTTTTTTTTCCTTTTATTTTTCAGACCTTATTTTCGTTTCTGCTTAAGTAGCCAGTGTTCATTGCAGCGAAGATCGCTCTCATCTCATGCAGTTTAATTATCTAAGCATCTGCCCAGAGGCTTGGCTAAACTTGGAAACATCATTGCGGAGACAAAGTGTTTCCTAATTAGCCATGCAAGAAGCATACGTTGCGGAAATAAGTTTTGCTGCTAAGAAACAAGACAAGGCTTTTGCCTTAGGTCACAAATTTTCTTTGCTTCCAGTCCCGAAATAGGAAAGTAAATGGATGGATTTGTAATGCAGTGCTAATTAAAAGTTACAATTTTCTTCAATATTGGATTCAAATTTCATTTACTTAGAGGTCTATGGCACACTTGAATAAAATTACCGATTTTAAGAAAGCTTATTGCGCAATTCAGCTCGCTAATTTGAACTATCAAAAGCAGGGTTTACGCGTACACAACCTGAACTAAACGAGAACTGAGTGACTTCTTGTCTTATGCCATCGCATCGTTCATCTCCTGCCTGAAAAACAGAATATACATTTTGGGCAAAAATAGACAACAAAGGAAACCGTAGGCGCTCAAAAGAGTTGTTACACAGTCCACAACCGTTACATACCATCCATTCAAGGACAATTCTACCGGGTGATAACAAAGCAACGAGAACAAAAATATGTACATGGAAAAGGCGATTCGTTTGGCCTCGCTGAAATTTTCAGGAATCTTCCTAACCTTAAAGGCACAGACCGAGGACACCAGCATTTGGAAGAAGATATAAAAGCATGTTGCCAGGAATAGAGATTTTCCAAGTGAGCTGGAGTATGCCTTGCATTCGTTAAAGGTGTAACGTTTCGGATAGATATGTTGAAAGTTGAAGGGTGGATCCAAAAGCAACCATGGCATCAGCACCGACAACAGTGGAGCTAGAAATGCTATAACAATCCCAACCTGTGCTTTGTTTGGAAGAGAAGTGAGTTCCAAACTGGTCATAATGGGAACCCGAAAAGCACAGGAAATAAGCAACACCTTTACCAATAATGTGGAGAGACAGATGTTATAGGTCAGATAACGTAACGGGTATATGATCATGCAAATTGTATTTGTGGTTTTAAAGACATCAATATATACCAGAGAGAATAATGCAAAAATTGTAAGTAAAAGGGAAAGGCTAAGCTCCCTATTAGATGCCTTGACGATGGGACTATTCCAGAATTTGCAGAGGGCAGCCAGACAAAACAATGTGACAACTACTCCGAGGCTGCCAAACGTTAGAATCACAATTCCGGTTATATTCGTATAGCTTATGTTGGCAGAGGGTAAGGCGACACACTCTGTATTCGCTGGGTTAGATATTGTTCCGTTGGGACATTCTCTGCAGCTTTCAGAACCAGCAGATGAGCTGATGGTTTCACCAAGGCACGGAAGGCACTGCCAACAACAAGGTGAGGTAGAAGATTTTCTTGTTCCAGGAGGACACCGTTCCGAACATTCCGATTTCGGAGGGCGACCAGATTTAGTCGTCCAATTCAGAGCTTCATGAAAAATCAAGCGAGTTTCGTTTTTCTGTGAATTTTTCCATTCTCCTATCAGCACCATCTCTACGCTCTCGACATCTCCATTGGGTACATTTTTAAAGCTGAAAATGTCGTAATACGCCGAGCTCCTGTCGCCAAATTGATCGAACTTGATTTTTCCAGTTAGTCCGTCAAAACTGACGCGGCCAAGAAGCTTCTGCACGTCAAAACTATTGGCTATCTGCAATTTCGCCCGATCTTTGGTCTCGTCATAGCTAAAATTTCGATTGAAAATATCTAGTGCGTGTGCCACTGCATATACGGTGTCAATGATGTACGGAACATAGGGGCTGTAGACTTCTTTAATCAACTCGTTAGAGCACTGCTCAATTTGGCGATGAACACACTTCATGTTCTTCAAGAACTTCCATTTTTCGCTTGTAATGTGGTTCCATTCAGAAAAACTTCTATCGTCTTTCTCCTTGACCAATATTTCTTTTAAATATTCCTTGAAGCCAGAGTCGCTGAATTTATGGAATTGAAATCCTAAAGAGCTCTCGAGAATACCTTTTACTGGCAGTTTAGAAGTTAAATGAATCTCACTCAAAATCCACACACGTCCAGTTAAGTTTTGCCTCTGAACCTCTGCCAAAAACTTCGTTTGGTAATTCTCGTATAACCATAAGATCACAACTTTGACATTGTCCATCTGTTTAAGCTTTTGAACTATGTTCTGAACACTCAGATGCAGACTTTCGAGGCGTATAAACTCCGTAAAAGCAATACAGAACGAGCTCTTCCTTGACGAACTTTCGCTAACCACTGCCCATGCTCCACTTCTTCCATACGAATCATCTTGTCCAACCACAGCAACATAGCCCCAATTGAAGTGCGTAATTAGGTCAACCATCGCTTTTGCAAGAAACTTGTCCGAAGGCACTGTTCGATATAAATGTTTATAGGTAAAAGAGCTAAGCTCCGTACTGGTTGCTGTTCCAGTTATGCTCGAGACATTGAGCATCCGAAGAAATCCACCAATGAATAGCGCTGTTCTAGATTCGTTTGGGCCTATTAAAGAAATGATGGCTTTCTTTCTTGGAGCATTTTGGCTTAAATTGACGCAAGAATCAACGGTCAGTAGTTGATAAATGAGTCCCGCAGCTTTTGAGAGGTTTCCACCGTAATCCCTTATGTCATATCCTAGGGAAATGTTCGAAAGAAGACTTGTGTCATTGTTTATTCGTTCGATTGCGAAGATCATGGCCTGCATGCGACCAAGTCCTCTCAAATATATGTCTTCATATCGCGACCCTGGCCGGTCTGGCACCTGGTGCACGCTAAAAAGTCCGCCCAACATCATATCGCCTTTTCTGTATTGAGCCTGAACAGCAGCATAGAAGCACAGGAATAGAAACAAATGGTAGTGCAACGAACTCATAGCAATACTTTTCTTTTCTCCGTTTACTTGTTGGTGAACCAAACGCGGAAACATTAGCTATTTGTACCTAGGTGTATTTTGCAGATATGATAGTGATAGGTTTGACAGTTTGACGCAATTGTTAAATGCAGCTGTTGCGTAGCGAATAAAAAGAAAAAACAATAATATATCTATATAGAACGTTCTTCTTCAATACAACGCAAATTTTTACAGATTAACACGCATTAAAAACTTTCAAATGCAATTACCACTTCAACTAAGTAGTACTTATTTTTCTGACCTTGACAATAATTTGCATATAATTTAAAACGTATCTTCTTATCAATAGTCTACAAATAACTTCCAATGGAGTTAACATTTCACTAAATTATAAGATAAGAAGTTGATAAGTGTATTGTTCTTCCCAGATGTGAACATATGTTTTTCGAAACAATGTTTTTCGAAACAATGTCTTTCTTAATTTGCCATCGGAAAAGCTATCTAAACCTTCTGCTGATCAAACCATCCCGGAAACATAAAAAAAATAAACCAATCCATAGCACGTTAGACGAATGAATTTTCCTCAATAATAGATTAAATTTTGTTTAAACACGTAGAAATTAGCAATATTAACCGACGTTTCGGAGTTTTCATGACGCCATTGCCAAGGTAAATGTTAGGATAATGAATTCTGTGAGTATTATTAACCACAATGAAGTTACACGATGAAGAATGTGAGATTACATTGCAGAAATATTTTAACACGGTTCGAGGCGGATTGTACGTTCAGAATTAGTTTTAGTTCTCTGATGAATAACATCTCGTACAAGAAGCAATCGAATTTATTTTCCCATTTTTATAGAACATCGAAGCTCCTCAGTAGGTCTTCATGGACCTTGTCATGTTTGTCTTTGTAGTGTTTATATAAAGAAGATGGCCGTTGTTTATGTTCGTCCACACGTACGTGTAAGTGTCCGCGCGTATAGCCCACACGAAGTACTCCACTACAAAGGACTGCGATGATGCTGGGAACGAAAAATACAAAAAAAAAAATTCTTGTTATCATAATATCTCAGAATCAATGCAATAAACATCATACGAGAGACTTTCAGATCTTGACGCAGCCAATCGTTTTTCCGGCAGAATCGACTAGACCAATCTACTCAAAGTTATTCTACTGTTATTGCGATATATGGCACTGTGCTCCATATTGCACTGTGCCTTATATTGTACCATGTTTGCATTGTGCTACCTTTCAAAGGCACACTGTGATGCACAAACGCTTAAAATTACGAGGACCTTATTTTCTTTGCAAAATGCCATCTATTTTATATATTTTTTAGTATGGTTGTATTTTAAAGGTTTTTTTTAATTACGTTGGGGGATAGTTAGAAAAAGAGGGATTTGTAGCCAACACCTACGAAAAAAATCTTTTACCACGAGATCCCACAACTGAAGGATAACTGAATTCGCGTTATCATATACATTTCCCTTTTATTAAGATCGTACGTGACGACTCAATCCGTTTGATCGGATCTCTTTATTTTTCAGAGTTTTACGGAAATTAAATTTCACTCGAACAAAGGCTTGTCGTGACACTTTTTACGACTCTAATTTAAGACAACTTTGGAGGACAATTTACAAAAAACTGCGGAATTGAGCAAAAAACAAATACCACAGCCATGTAGATTAACTCTATCTTATCCATCGAGGTGACTTTCGTGAACATCACATTTCAATCAAGTAAACAGGAAGATTTTAATGACACCTTATCGGTTCACCTTAGTCAAATACGCGAAAACCGATCAAATGCAAGGTAAATTTTTGAAAAAGTGAGGCGTTCTTAACTGATCTAACTAACATAGCTAGGAAGTAAGTGCCATAGAAAAAGTAACTATGGAAAAAACTTTGCCGCCCGATCTTTACGAAAACTTTATAGCTCCGTGAACTTACTTAATTTTCGGCAATCTTCAAATTTGGCCGCCATTTTGAGGGACTTTTCAACATGAAGCGTAGCAGATATAAATCAAGCAGGTAGATCTAAAACCATCAGAAATAAGTACGAAAGCAATTAAAATGAACCTAACTTTCAATTCAAGCGGCAAAATTTGAAATTGTTCGTTAAACTTACCATTCCTACATCCCCATGCGACCATTTCTTCCAACAATTCAAACACTACAACTAGTGTTCGAATTCCCCTTGTCGATTCCACCGTAAGAAATAATCTGTGCCACCCAAGCTTCGACTCCAATGTTAAGTACGAATCAAATAACATAACTGCTTCATCTTCGAGGCAATATCACACTGATATTTTGATTTTCGGATCGATAAGAACGGTGATCAGGAAGCGATCGCCACGTTTACCTCATAAACGTAACCGCTGACCAGCCACTGTTTGAAAACAGTACGGTCCGGTGGTGAGGGGCGGAGTGTGGGCTGGGTGTGGGCAGATTATCAGAAGATTTTTGGGAACATTCGAACATATCCATTAAATTATCATAATAAGCATTAGGGCTCTCAGTCTTAATGCAAGGTCAAGCTTCGTGTTGCAGAAAACTTTTGTTTTGCCTAGTATTCTTTTTTTATTTCAAGTACATTTCGTTCCAAATAGGACTGGCATCAATTCATAGATTTATGAATAAATCTTTACCACATAAAAAAAATGAATTTAGATAATCGAGATATCCACTGAACCTCTTGTATCGCATCAGAAGTAACGTGTCTTGTCTTTGCCCAACTCTGAGAGCGTGGAGTGGCAAAGAAGCGAGACACGAGTCTCGCGTGGAGCGGCTTCTCTATGCTCACAGGATACGCGTGACCCCACTATCTTTAAGAAAAATAAGAGACTGCTCGGAGTCTGTATTCCGTTCAACCATTTCAAAAGAGTGACGCGAGTCTTTTCAATTGAGCGAAAAAGTAATTGAGTGAAAAAGTCACAAACCCATTCTTTACCTCACCAGCGTAACCACTGACAACTCACGAATTACAGTAGGCTTCTCCTTTGTCCTGGAAAATGAAATCGTATCGAGTATACAAAGTTTAGTGAGTTCCTTTAGATCTCCCGAACTTGTATCGCGTTAGAAACAATTACAAGTACAGGAAGACGTCGTTCGCTAGCGAGACGTTCATTATGTCTCAGGACTGCTTTTTAAATAGCAAAGGTGGAAAAAAATTCGGTTCATCGCATGGCTTAAGTGGTTTGGTACGACTGTTTGAATGCAATGATGAAGTAAAACATCATTTGATAAGCTGCCACCTGTCAAAAGAGGTCTTAAGTGAAAATGGGCTAATCTTGGCAAGGACTGGCCTATTTCACCTCGCTCAGGAGGATAAACAAAACATGTGAATTTGCTATAGGCATCGCCACACTTTAGGGAAGTTTTGGAGAAGTGCAAAGGTAACATGTCAGTATCCTATCATGACGGTTTCAGGAAGCGTATCCAAGGCAAAGATGTAATTACGTTCCATATGCCTCAGGGAATTCAAAAGCTGTTTGGAGTTATTATTCCAGTTGAATCAGGTAGTCTTCAGTAACATTTTCTGTTATCTATTTTTATCTCGTGACATTTCTTCTTGAAAAGAGAAGAAATTAGATTAACGGTACTTAAGTACACATCACATTGAAAAAACATAGCTTTTTATTACGGATGGAAATATTTACAAGGTTTCTTAATTGATAATCAATAATGTTTTTGTAGAAGATCAAATCACCTGACAACGCAATATACTTATTCATGCGTACGGTTCACAATTATTAACGGTCAGTTTTCCTCTGTTTATATGATTCTCATTAACCAGTATGAAATAAATTTGCAGACCCAAACACCCCTTATTTGATTAAGAATAATACAAGTAAACAGTGCATGTCGGTTTTCAATTCTTGATGGATGCTACTGGGCTTCACTTTCACTGAGAAATTTGCAATCGCTTACCTCAGTTCTCTGTGTCCCATGCCGTAAGAAGCAGAAAAAAAAAGTTAAAGTGAGTCTTGGCTGAGACAAGAAGGATCAGAGAAGAATCTACGGTCCCCAGAAACGCCACTTTTACACAAGAGACAACTAAGGTAAATTGAATTCAGTGGTATTTGTTTTATTGAAAACTATGATCGTTCAGATTATAAGATATGCGAATTCCTTTCCCCAAGATTTCCTTGTTCCAGGAGGACGCTGTTCCGAGCATTCAGATTTCGGGGGGCGAACAGATGGAGTCTTCCAGTGAAGTCTCTATAAAAATCTATGTTTGTTTTATTTTCATTTGAAATGATCCACTCTTCTTCCAGAACCTTTTAACGCTCTTAATATCTCCCTCAGGTCTTTCTCTAAAGCTGACAATGTCATAGTGCGCCGAGCCTCTGTCACCAAATTGATCGAACTTGATCTTTCCGGTTAGTCCGTCAAAACTGACTCTGAAGGAGCCTCTGCATGCCAAAACTATTTACTATAGGCGATTTGTCCCGATTACTTGTATTGCTTGAGGTGAAATTTCCAGTTGATATATCTGTTGCATGGGCCAGAGCATATATGGCGTCGAGAGTCTATGGAATAAAGGAACTATAGATTTCTTTAATCAAGTCGTTAGAGCAATGCTCGATTTGGTCATGAACGCACTTCTTGCTCTTCAAAAGCTTCCATACTTAGCTTTTACTGTAGCTCCATTCATGGAAACTACTATTGTCTCTCTCCCTGACCAATATATCTTTTAAATATTCCTTGAAGCCAGAGTCGTTGAGTTCATGGTGTACAAATCCTAAAGAGCTCTCGAGAGTATCTTTTACTGGCAGTGTGGAAATTAAATGAGCCTGACTCAAAATCCACACACGTCCAGTTAGGTTTTGCCTCTGAACCTCTGCCAAAAACTTCCTTTGGTAATTTTTGTATAGCCATAAGATCACAACTCTGATATTACCCATCTGTTTAAGCTTTCGAACAATATTCGAAATACTCAGAGTCAGACTTTCGAGCCGTATAAACTCCGTCAA